GACAGCCTTGGAGACCCTGTGGTGCAGTTCCACTCTGTCCTCTAGGGGCGCTGTGGGTCAGAATCCCCTCCAGGCACTGGGTTTGGTTTGGGCTTTGCTTCTGTGAAGGTAGGAGCTCTGGTGGCGCAGTGCCTAAGGCACTTGACTGCTAACCAGAAGGCTGGCGGTTCAAACCCACCAACCCCTCCTCCATAGAGCTACTGCCTCGGAAACCCAAGAAGGGGAAACCCAAGAAGGGGTCCGTATGAGTCGGGTCCGACTCGACGGCACATAACAACAACAACACCACAGACATGTAACAAACACTGCATCCAGGGGCGGCGGACTGGTCAGCCTCCTGAGGCCTGCACCCACCTCCCGATCTATACATGTTTATGAAGTGGTACAGTCACCGGGGGTTTTCGTGACAAGCCATGCTAGGCCGGCTGGTGGCCAATGCAGTGGTCAGCTCCCCTCTGCAGGAACTGCGAGACGTTTCGGCGGAGAAGGAATTTCTTTCCATAGGCGGTCACAAGGGGGTCACGAGTAGATGTTCCTCCCTGAAAGGGCTGGCATCAGCGGCTGCCAGCCCAGCTCTCCCCAGAAGACATGGGGAGGGGGAGCCAAAGAAAGGGAGTACAAAGTCTAAGATGGCGGAGTGGGAACCATTTGGGGTGTTAGAAAGGCCTAAATCATGTGACTTTGGTTTGAGCTTTGCTCCCATAAAGACGGACAGCCTCAGAAAGCCAGCTGAGGAGGCATGTTTCCGTGTTTAACGAACATCACCATAGACCCAGCCTCTGTGAGAGTCCCCAGTGACTCTCACCTCTTACTTTTTGTGCTGTGTAATCACTCTACGTCAGAGTTGACCTGCAAAAACAAAGAACGTGTCAGAAATAGCAGACTGTGACTTCCAGGGCTGGGTCATAAACACATTGCTATCTGCATGGAGAACTGCCACCATGGACAGCTGTCCCCTTGGTCAAGAGACCAGAAGACCCAGCTGGTGCCCAGCTTCCATTACTTAACAATGATCCAAGATTCTAGTGAAGACTCCTGATCAAAAGGGGGTGGGGATGTGGGACAGAATTTAGGTTCTTACAGAATCCAGACTTTCTAGGGTCACAGAGATGGGGGGAGAAGACCCCAAAACTATGGCCCTGAGGTCATCTTTCAACCTTACGCCAAAAACGTCCCCTGAAATCTTTAAACCCAGCAACAGTTGAGCTGAATTAATGGAAAATGTCTACCATGAGCACTGTACTCTTTTGGAAAACTGTCCATATGAGATCAGACTGACAGCAGCAACTTGAGAGGTTGGCTATGAAGCTCATTGGGCAGTGAGTTTACGTGAGTAAGGAAGGAACCATTCAGAAAAGGCGGGTGGGAATGGTCGCACACCTTGAAAACTGTCATCAAGGTCACTGAATTGTACATGGAGAAGCTGTTGAAT